TTTATATAATAAAACATGCATTTTGTTAAAAAAAAAAAAAAAAAAAAAAAAAAAGCCGGAATCCTTTGGGACATCAACAAAAATTGGAATGATACAGAGAAGATTAGCATGCTCCCTGTGCAAGAATGGCACACACACACCTGGCAGTCTGCCAGGATTGCAAAGTTGGTGTGAGTATGAGTAAAGTGGGGACCACTTTTCTCTCTCAGGGATGGGTATCGCTAACTCTGGGTGATGTGGTGAGTCCTTATCCACCAGTCAAATGCATCCTGGGCAGACTGTCTGTCCAGGTTCAACCTCCTCCTGATAAGTCGGTGAAAGTCCGATGAAACTGTCTGGTACAGTCATGCTTTTTTTGAGTGTATAGCAAGCCTTTCCACCCTGGGGTGCACGGGGTACCCCACCATGCCCGGAATGGCGCCCGGGGTGCCCGGCCGGGCGACCCCCCCGAGCAGGCACCCGGACGCCTCTTGCACCAAGGCAGAAAGAGCCAAAAAAAAAAATTCTTGCCGCAGCCCTATTCCAAACGTGCCAACTTTGTCTTCAGCGGTCGGCGCATTTTTTTTGGGGTCCGGTAGGCCCCGTTTTGTAGGTTTTTAATTTTTGGGGGGATTCTGGTTGTCGATCTGCATAGATTGACGGTGCGCGCTGATATAGGATTCCAATTCGCCTCCTCCTGCAACCCCTCCCCCCCCCCGACCCACAGAAATCAACATACGTGAAAATAAAAAAAGAGGCCGGATTTGGGCATTACTCCCACAGCGTAGGCCCTGGGAAAGCTAGGTGTATAGCGAATATGACAACACACCTGGTAGGCTACCAGAGTGGCCCGGGACCACTTGCCTGGCCGGGCCAAAAAAAAAGAAGAATTATGTATTATTATTATTATTGTTTTTCAAATTTGGCAAAGTATTTCGATGTGACCCTGAGGCATACGTTGCTCAGTTTATTATACTGCATAACATAGTTTTTTTTACAGTCTTTCTTTTTTTTTTTTTTTTTTTTTTTAATGCTGGAAACTTCCCTTGTCCTTGCACAGCCGGGCCACTCGGGAAAGAAGGGTGACCTGGGGCGAGGTCCCATTAGCAGTAGGATAGGAGTGTGGCCGATCCAGTGTGACACTGAGTGGCAGCGGCCAGACAAGTTCATTACGAATTTCTGGGCTGGGAAAGCAGGAAAAAGGGCAAAAAAAAAAAAAGAAACAGAGACCTCCCACAGGAAGTCACGGCAGAGTGCTTCCCAGCCATCATGATCTGATGGTAGTGGTTGCAAAAACAGTGAACAAAG